TTACCAATTTAATAATATTTCCTAGTTTTACCTTAATTAAATTTAAAGAACAATTTCTTAAGTTTGTTTGTATAAGAGTATTTTATAATAAAACACAAAAAATATTTTTTATTTTGGTTGTAATTTTTTTTGTGTGTTGTGTATGGGTATATGGACGTGTAATTTGTATGGGTATGTTACTTTTTTAAGATTTTAATGTCTAGACATGTTTAAATGATAAAATGCCTTCATTTTTTGTCGCTTTTAAAGCTTTACATTTAACGAATAACTGCTACTTTTAACAGTCTTGCTTCACCCCACCCACTTGCAAAATGTCGAAATTTTGCCAGTCTATAGGTTCTTCAATTTGGTTGTCATAGCTTATTTAAAAAAAAAAATTATATTTCTGTTTCTGTATATCAATAAATTTTAGAAAACTTATATAAAACAGTGTTAACTATGATTAGCTTATCCACAACTAGCATTGTTTCTTGAGTGTCCTATAATATGCCCCGCTCTACCCTATATATAAAATACGTTTTATTTATAACAAATTGATAAATGACTCAAACGATATTGCATTTGAATAAAATAAACTTTACACCACAATCAGTACAAAATTAAGCGATAATATTTCGTTCATTAAAGATAAATCTGTAGAAGAGGTCGAAACATCTCATAACATAATCTCATAAGCTCTAGAGCTTATGAGATTTTGAGAGCATACTAGAGCTTAACATTAAGATTATGAGAGCATACTAGAGCTTAACATTAAGATTATGAGAGCATACTAGAGCTTAACATTAAGATTATGAGAGCATACTAGAGCTTAACATTAAGATTATGAGAGCATACTAGAGCTTAACATTAAGATTATGAGAGCATACTAGAGCTTAACACAGTAAAATTTAGATAAGAGCTCTAATCTTAATTTTACTGAGTTAACTTTTAATGAATTTGATGTTGCTTTTAAGTAACTAAAACGAAATAAAGCTATTGGGTATAATGATATTAACACAAATATTGTGATTGATTTCTACGATGTTATAAAAGATATTCTTTATAAAATTTTTAGAGCATTCATTGCACAAAGGTCTTTTCCAGATAAAACAAAAGCAGCAAAAGTAACTTCAGTCTTTAAATCAGGGGATCGTACAAATATAACAAATTATCGCCCTAATTCAGTTCTGCCAGTTTTTTCGAAAATTTTAAAAAGAGTAATGTACAACCAAATCTATTCTTATTTTGTAGAAAATAAAATTCTATACGAAAACCAATTTTGTTTTAAAAAAAATAATTCAACCAAGCATGCCATTCTTCAACTTAAGCGCAATATAACTCATTTAAAGACGTCAAAGGCATTTGATACCGTCAACCATCAAGTCCTGTTAAAAAAACTAATATCATATGGTATTAAAGACAAAACCCTATTATGGTTTGAAAGTTATCTTACTAACCGTAAACAGTTTGTTTACAATGAAGATTCTATATCTCATCTATTAATGAATATAACATGTGGTGCTCCACAAGGACTCATACTTGTTCCACTTATTTTTTTAATATAGATAAATGCTCTTCATAAATCATCAAACTTAACAACAATAAATTTTGCAGTTGCCACAAATTTGATTTTGTCTTATAAAGATATTAATATGCTTTTTACTAATATGATAAATAAATTAAAAAAAGTTTCTGTTTGGTTTAAACAAAATAGATTGTCTCTAAATATAGAAAAAACTAAAAGGACACTTTTTTATCCACCTTCAAAAAAACAGAAACTGTCTCATATCATGCCAGACCTTTTAATTGATAATATAATAATAAAAAGAGAAAAAGTTACTAAGTTTCTCGGAGTATATATTGATGAAAATCTATCTTGGAGAAATCATATTGATAATAACTCCAATAAAATTGCTAAATGCATTGGAGTTCTCTATAAAGTAAGAAATATATTAAGTAAACACCTGTTAATACAATTATATTATTCATTTATACATTGTCATATAAACTACGCGAATATCATATGGGGAAGCATCATAGATCAAAGCTAATCTTTGCCTCCATTAGAAACACGCAGATCGGCCAATAAATTTTAAAAATTGGTTTTTTCATAAGAAACAACTTTTTAAAGAAATGAATATTTTAAATGTGTATCAACTAAATGTCTTTAATATTTTATGTTTCATGTTTAAATGTAGAGAAAATTTGTTGCCAAATGTATTACACAATCTTTATTGTCTGAAACCTAAAAACAAATATAATCTTCGAATTAATTACAATCTTATTGCCCCCTTTTGCCGTTAAAGCAAAGACCAGTTTTTTGTTTCTTATCGAGGACCTTATCTCTGGAACAAAATAGTCTTACCCAATTTTGACTTTTCTACTCAACTGACTTTTGCTTCATTCAAACAAAAACTTAAAAAAATTATATTTTTAATTAAAAATATCTTGATTTATTTTTAATTGTTTTTTGTTTGTTTGTTGTTGCTCTATTTTGTATATTATTTGGTTTAACATTTTATTTTGTTTTTTAAATGTTTTTGCATAAAGGTGTATTATTATTTTACCACAGATATTGTACTTTTATTAAAAATTAACCATATATTATAAAAGACTTCATGACAAGATCATCATGATCTTCTAGATGTCCTGTCGTTACTAATGTAAAAATTGTAAAATATCATACGTTGGAACTTGATGCGTGTAATGTTGAAGATGTTGAAGATGTGTGATTTAAAAGTTGTGCGTTGTTTTTAACATTAACTGATATAAATAAAAACACGTTTTCATCGGAATGCGAATTGATGCTTGCTAGCATGCTAAATTTTTTAAAAAGTTTTTGAAGCCGTCAAGGAACTAAGTAAGAATAATGCAAATCATATAACAGCTGAAGGCGTGCATAAATACGTGTTTGCTAAGCTGAAGGATATGAAACCCAATTTAAGCGAAAATTTACTGTTCAGCTAAAAAAAAAAGTTATTGAGAGAAGAAACGAGATCTTAATGACTTTACTAATTTATCTCTGGTTTTTGACCGTTTCCTCGATCAAACGAAAACTTCAAATACACTTTGAGAAATGTTGCAGTTGCTTGCGAAGAACTAAGCAAGGGGCTCTATGAAAAGATTGTGGTGACACAGTCATCCTTATCTTCTTTCAGCCCCTGTCTGTTTTATATATATTCTTTGTGTAATGTAAAAGTTTCATTGTAATTTTATTATTTTATTTTTATATAAACAGCGAAATATATTTTAAAAAAAAAGCAATAATATACGACGTGCGCTTCAGACCATCAAACCATCATCAAAATCTGCAAAACGTGTTTTTTGCCGCTAGATATAGAAAGAAAAAAAAAAGAAAGAAATATCAAGTTTGAATTTCAACTCATTTCAAAATTTAATAGAACTTTTAAATATAAATTAAAAGACTGATTTATAATAGAATACATAATTATTTAGGATAATCTAGTATTTTATAATTTCACTATTCAAAAACCGAATAACATAAAAGTCGATTAATAATTTGCTCTAGTTCGTGCTTAATGTTTAGTTCGTGTTTAACAAGCGGATCACGTATTGGTCCGCGTGGCATTTGCTAATCATTCGCGCCGATTTCAAAATGAAAACTAAAAATAAAAGCTAAAAAAAAAAGTTTGCTTAGCTTCAAACAACCCGACAATCAACTAACGAAAAAAATCCTTCGCCTTAAAAACTTCAAGAAAAATGTTAGCATTTGTGGTTGAACAACTTATTCTTAAAAATTGAGCTAATGATAGCTAAATTTTGTAATAAGGCTGCCCAGTCTAACCAGGTTGATTCTAAGTTTGTGTTCTTATAAAGAATTTTCACCTGTCTTTACAGGAATCCCGGTGGTCCATAAGCAAAATATCCCCAAGGCGAAGTGAGTGATTTTGCATATGAATGTGATGTTATGAATTTCATAAGATAGGTGGGATGTCAGTTGTTTTTCTATTTTTTTTTTCTTTAACTTTTTTTATTAGGAGTGTTTTCTTCAAAAAACAATCCATTAAAGTAATGAAATGTATTTGTAGTTGGTTTATAAAAGCATAAAAATAACTAGTTTGTTTTTAAGATAAGTAACTATTTATTTTGTTTAGCCTATACCTAATCTCAGGTAATGCATATTGCTTAGAATTTATTTAAAGGAGTACATTATTAATACAAAATGAATAATAAAACATCAACTAAAATTATTAATAAAAAAACCATTTAATAATAAAAAGAAAATGTATTGTAACGTTTTAATAGTAAATTTAAAAAAAGTGTTCGTAATCAAAACTAAAATAAAAACTTTGAAAAAAATTCGCTATTAAGTCTTTTTGTTTTTAAATTTTTAACGTATCGCAAACAAATGTGTGACGTCATTTTATAGTTAAATAGATTAGGACAGTATAAGAATAGTATTCAAAGAAAACTAAAATAGTTTTATAATTTTGGGGTTTGCCGGCGGTTGCTAAATAAACTTCATAATCTCTTTCTTCCTCCCCCCCCCCCTCTCCTTTATTCTTAATCGTGCTCTCACTAGATCTGAATCCGCCACTGTTTTCTGTCTTATATGTATTTATGTATCGTGTTGTATGTATTTATATATTATGTAAAATGTATATATTTAAATATTTGGTTTTTAATTTACAAGCGGTTTTCGATCACAAGACCTGATTGGTCTTCTGTTTGACTACGCGTTCTTTTTATTAAATCAATTTTTTGTATATTTGATTTATCTCTCTTATGGCGAACGACTTTTTTTAATCTTAACGAATTTATTGTTAAACAATTCACCGAAATGTGTAAGAAAAGAACAAAGGAACAAAAAAATATTAAAAGATTCTAGTTTTGCAATCTTTAATTGAGCAAACTCATAATATGACGAAATAAACTCATAATATGACGAAATAAGCAGTAATTCAGCTCGTGTTGGCACTTGTAGGCATGTCACCAATAACTTTTTAAAGACTTTAACTGAAACCGCCTTTTCTTCATCTAATGAATAAAGCATTTGTATAATTTAATTCAGAGTCGTTTGCGTTATATTTGAAAACTGTAAACCAATAAATAGAAAAACAGTAACTTTGAATTCCGAAAAACTTTTCAAACTGCATATCTATCTTATTATTTTCTGTGTAGTTGCTGACTTCACAAAATACTTTTCTAAAATCTCAATTTCTGTGTGGGTGTTGTTAAATCGTAAGTATTTTTTCTGTTGAAACAGGTTTGTAGTATTACTTGTAAAATGAAATTTTTCTACCAGTCTCTTTTTTTGTCTGATTTATATTGCTTTACTATTGGCATTTTTTTTGTATTTGTTTAAATAATTTTAGATTTTTTTTGCAAAACGTTCTGGCACATCGCAATATGTATTATTTAATTTAATCTCTTTTTTGAATGAAATCAAATTTGCATGAACCTCGAAAACACACGATGCAATTTCAATTATTAATAAATTTAATTATTGGGAGCAAAAGTAATTGCTATATTTCAAATCAAATTAGACAAATGAAATTTATATCAACAATTACAAACTGAAATTGAAAAAAGCTTACAAATCAAAATGCTTAGTTATTATTATTGAACAAAGATAATTTATATCTCAAAAATTTTTGGGATGCTTTTATGAAATTTTATGCTAAAACTTGTTCTATTCATGTATGAAAGTGAACTTGACAGCGAAGCACTTTTATGCTGTAGCAGGGTAGGTCTTCTACTCTTTATTTTTTATGAATTACAACGGTATCTGGCAGATTTGTGCATAATGCACCCCATCAAAAGTATCAATAAACATGGCTAAATCTTGCCCCAATCTTAGACGTCAACCAATAGGCGTAAATTTTGCTCTGTCAATCCCTATTGTCCAGTTAATGCATCTACAATTAACTTCATCAATCTGTAACGGTCAATGGATATAATTATACTCTAAGTAATTTAATATATTAATTTTAGTTATTCAGTAAACCTCTCGATAAAGGTGTTTAAAATTGAAGAAAATGGAGGGGAGGGGGATTAAGAGTATCGTGGACAAGTCCGCCAAACATTTTACTCGCTTGCAATAAGTTATTCCGCAAAGCTCAACTTACGAATATAATATATATAAGGTATATATATAAGGTATATATTTAAAATAATTGTTTATCACACTACAACATTGCAACATTGTTTTACAGACAACAAAATATTGTTTTACAAACAAAATATTTTAATGCTGTATCTTAAGTTAAGTCAATTAAAATAAATTGCGTTTGAACCAACTGTAAAACAAATGCACTAAAGTTAAATAAGAAAAAAAAAAAGGTTGGCTCTTTTGCACGTATAATGCTGTAGCCCAATTAAAGTTAAATGCAGTAAACGACGCAGGCTTCTCGGTTAAAGGTATAAACAGCGCCGATTTTTAATAAATACCTTTCAAAAAAAAAAAACATGTCGCGCAGGAACTGAATGAGGTTTATTTTATACGATTTTGTACAATTTAAAAAATTTTAAAATCAATAAATCCATAAACTTTCATTTTACTTATTCTCAAACTTATTCAATTTTTTTTTTTTTAATTTTTAAAAAAAATAACATAGCATTATTAAATTAAAGTATAATTATAGATAATAAGCGATGAATTCGATAATAAGCGATGAATTCGATAATAAGCGATGAATTCGATAATAAGCGATGAATTCGATAATAAGCGATGAATTCGATAATAAGCGATGAACTCGATAATAAGCGATGAATTCGATAATAAGCGATGAATTTGATAAATGTCAGTTTAAGACGACATTGTTTCGTATATTGCGTGCGCGATTTAATTTGTTATCAAATTTATAAATATTATATGAAAATATAAAAATGGAATTAGAAGAATTATTGCGAGTTATAAGTTACCATATTCTTCCACGCAGTTTGTGCGCTTTATTTTGTTTATTGTCAAACTTATAAATAATTCACTTCTCAAGATGGATTTTCAATACTTTATTGATAAAAATAATAAATAAAGTTTTAAATCACCAAACATCACAATGATACTCCAAATTTTTAGGTTTTTTTTACCTTTGGGTCTTTTCTTTTTATTAATAAAAGCATAATGTAGACTTTAATTTCAATATGCTTCTAAAATGCTAGCGATCAAATAATGAAAGTTTGAAATTTAAAAAGATGTTGCCTATAAAAATACTTTGAAATTTTTTTTTGTTATAAAATATGTGTAGAATTCAACATTTACGTCTGCGTCAAATTTTTTGAAAAGCAAAACATTTATTTTAATATATATTAATCTTATTTTTCTGATTTATTGTGATAAACGTTTACCTGGTATAACAAATAAAAAGTTTTCTTTGCGTCACTGACGTCACCGGGGAAGCCAGAAGGCACGTACCCCCGACCCGACAACCCTAACCCCCACTCACCCACCATCACCACTGTATTTCTAAAGCAGGGTTTCATATGCTTATTATACTCTAGAGTACGTTCAAAAATATCGGAAGGGTGATGGGTACTGTTTTTTACTACCACTTATTTTTAATAGGAATGGTACGAGCATGTGACAACATTTTTTCGTTTTCTGCGTGTACAAGTAGTGAAGTGCGAATAGTACTCCCCATTCCAGGCTCGCTTCTGGCTCGCAATTAGACAAGTTGCGACAGTTACTGTCTCCAAAGAAACCACTCATACATACAATTTCGCAAACATCTGGACGTATTAAATAAAATAAGTATTGTCAAAAATACTTGTAAAAACGCACTTTTTTAATTTTTAGTCAGAAAACCGTATGGGAAAATGAGTCAGTTTAGTAAAGGTAGTTTAGGGCAATAAGAAAATTCTAAAAAATATATATACATTCTGAAATTTTTTTTTTTTTTTTTTTTTTTATTCTTTATTACAATCATTATTACAATTTCTATTATAACTTGTGAATAAAACGTAAGGCACAAAAAAGAGATAAATAATATATACAATAAAGATTTCGTTAACAATAGAAATATGACAATAAATATAACAATAAAAATTAGGAATAAAGAATGCGGAAACTCGAAGAAGTCCTTGAGGTCTTGTCGTAGAGAACCGCTGGAATCAAAACGCTTCATTTTTATTGATTTTTTGTAAATGTTTAATCGCTTTTGAATTGGATCTGTTTCGATAAATAATTATATAAACCGTTGCATAGAATAGTTAAAAATATTATACATCAGTATATTTATTGATGTGTTTGATGACGTCATAGTGTGTTGGTGATGTTACAAGCGATCATAGGTGGTATCACCGAATCCTAATCCAGCCCAACGATTGCCAAGCAGTTTTAGTTGGGTGTTCCTACGCCAGAGGTTATGCAGCACTGCACACTTTTTTTATTTAGATAATTTCTAGATTTATATAAAATTCCAATATTTTTAGAAATCTTGGTACATACGTGATCAATATGCTGTTTCCATGTAATGTGCTCATCAAGATAGACTCCTAAAAACTTTATGACAGAGTCCCTCTTAATCTCAATTTGGTTAATAAATATTTTAGGCAGATTTAAGGGTAGGTAACGTTTTTTTTGAAGCGGGTGGAAAATAATCCATTCTGTTTTATTAGGATTAAGAGTTAATTTGTTACACTTGAACCAGCTAGATATTTTTTTAAGTTCGTCATTTATATTACAAAACAGTTTGGAGATGTCCAAACTGTTTTGTAATATAAGTATCATAAGCGAACATAATGCTAAGTAGATTTGAAGCTTTATTTAAGTCATTAATGTAAATCAAGAATAAGAGGGATCCTTATATAGAGCCTTGAGAAACACCGCAAGATATATCTAATAAATTTTTTTGGCAATCATCCTTACAAGAAACAAACTGTTTACGGTTTGATAGGCAGCTTTCAAACCATCTTAAAGTTTTTTTGTTTATACCATAATATTTAAGCTTATGCAGTAATATAGAGTGATCTACTAAAAATTGCATAAAAAAGGCGCTTGTTGATATCAGTATTATTGATTCTATAAAAATGTGAGATAATGAGTATGAAATTGTTTCTGAACTAGTAAACGTGCTAATACCAGTAAAAGCAGCAGCGGAAGCGCTTTGTCGACGCGATGCAAACCTTATAACTGCTGACATTGCGTTAGAGTTTAAGCTAACTAAATTAAAACAACTAAATACTACAACAAGTAGTCAACTTTTTAATGCATTAGCCTCCAGAATCCAAGAGCGAAGAACTGAATTAAGTAGTCTACTGCACTATCAAACAAATTAATGTCCATAAATGAAGTTTTTGAAACATCTTCAAATATTAAAAAATAAAAAAATAATGTTGAAGCTTCTAAGTAGATTAAAAGTAACAAATTTAAATCGCCCTACAAATTCCTTGGACAACGTTGAATATTTAGTAAGTCAATAAGATGATGAAATACCGAAAAGCGCAGATAATGAAATGCCGAAAAATATTAGTGAGCAACTAAATGAAGTCCTAGAAAAAAGTTTTTTAGCAGCACCCAGAAATTCTTTGTCAAGATTAGGCAAAGCTCTTCTAAATTGTTGAAAGAAATGTCATTGTTTGAAAGTGGTTGTACTCTTGGTGATTTTAATCGGTTTATGATTTTTTAATGACGGTTAAACCAACAAGCGTAGAATCAGAAAGAGCATTTTTTTTATTAGAGGGTAGATTCGGGTAATATAACTTTAGGTAATATGATGCATACCAAAATATTTCTAAGATGTAATTAGTGAAGTTCAGGTGATTTGTATTTTTTAAATTAATATATTGGGTAATATAATTAGCGGTAATTTATATGTTTTAAGTAGCGGCTCATATCTAATTAAAAAGTTTTTCATCCTGTTGAAATATTATCATTACACATGAAAGAATCTGTGACGCGAAATTTTGAAAAAGAAATAAATGTTGATATATATTTATTTATAAAGAAAAATATATTAAATAGAAATTCGTTCCGTTTTTGTTTGAAAAACAATGCTAAGAAACATCTAATTTTGAATTCATTTATAGATTTTTTTGTAATATTTAACCATAACCAAATTACTCAGCGTTTTTTTATTAAAATTGCCTAATTTAAAGCCCTAGAATAGCATTGGTTTTAATTGCTTTTTGAATATATTTCTTTTGAATATTATAACAATACTAATTATCTTTTTGTGGCTTAAATTTATGTAATACCTTTCATTAATGTATTTTTTAAAGTTGGAGTTAACAAAATTGAAAAAGTTTTTTTTTTTTTTTTTTTTTTGCATTAAACAAAGTTTTAAAAGTGGCTCAAAATTTGATTTTTTAATTATAAGTTATGTTAATAATAAACCATTACATTCCCCAAATTAGTTCTAATTGTCAGGTTGGTATTTCCTTAATTGAATAATGCTAATGCTTTCAGCTAGTTTAGAGTGCTCATATTATTAAGTGGTCTGAGTAACCCAGCTGGCACTTGGTCCTAAAAAGACGTGTTTTGAACGTTTAAAAGACATTCAGTACGTCTTTTGATCGTTCATAAGGCATCTTTTTAGGACTAAATGCCGGCTGGGACAATGAGCACTTCCGTTTTTTTGTTTTTGTGAAAAAAATTTGTGTTTTAAGGAAAAATTACGGGTTTCTAAATATCTAAGTGAATTATGAGTTGTAATCCCTTAACATCGTTTATTTGTAAAAAATAATTTTGGTCCAGCATAATTATTTTTGAAAATATTTAAAAATATAATTTTTGTTTAAGGTATTTGTACCCTAATCCGCCCTATATGTTGCCAATTTACATTTATATATTAAAAGAAATTTATTTTATAAAATAAAAAAAAAGTTTTTTTATAGTAAATATATAAATAAACATATTTTATTTAAACCTTGACTCTGGCTCAAATCTTAAACTCAAATGAATTTGTTTAATGCATTCTAATGCATCTGTTTGTAAGCATATGTTTTTGTTTTTTTTTAAATGTAAGCATATATTAATATATTATAGATAAACAGATAAAAATACACTGTTCAACATATGGATGTTTTGGTATCAGCGTACTTTGTGTGTGTCCTTGTAATTATCATTTTATCAATTTTATTAAACGCACTTCTAATCTATATAATTGTTTACAAGATCAAAGTAACCAAATTGCCGCACGTTTTTATTCTCAGCATTTCGATTTCCGACGTAATTCATACCTTAATTGGTTATATAGCGGAAGTTTGGGTGTTATTTGAGGTACACTCTTTGAAAAAGAGTTTTGTTTGCATTGGACCTTCTTTCATAACAGTTTTTACTTCAGTGTCTAATATTTTACAAACTGTTACAATATCAATCATGAGAGCGATCGCAATAAAGTGGCCATTTTTTTACATTATATATTGTAAAACAATGAAGATGAAAATATTGTTATTGTTTTTTTGTTATTTTTATGGATTTTTTTGGCCTTTTATTCCGTTAATTGGATGGTCAAAGTATGAATTAGATTTGGATGAATTGCGATGTTCATTTGATTGGAAGTTGATGCATTCGGATTCATTATCGTATCTAATAGTATTACTTATATTTTGCTACATATTACCTGTCATTGCATTGATTTTTGCGTACATTACTTTAAAGAAAACAGTTGTTGATAGCTCCACTGTTAAAAGAGCTCAACTAGGTAATAATAGAAATATACAAGAAATGGTTTACTTAAAGTTAGCATTTTGGTCTGCTATTTTTTACTTTATAGTCTGGACTCCATATGCCAGTGCCAGTTTACTTTCAATTTTCAAAATAAAATCTCCAAATGTTATATATACCCTCTGCGCACTGTTTTCGAAACTATCATCGATATCGAATGCGTTGACAAACTGTTATTTTAACAAGTATTTTCGTAATCATCTTAAAAAAATCAAACTTTTTCAATACTTTGTAAAATGGAACAGAAGAAGTTGCGACAATTTAATATTATAGTTTTTCTGACAATAATTTATTCATTTATTTGACATTTATAATAGTAAATTTGTTTAACGTTATCTATATTTGCTTAAATCTTTGAAAAATAAGCAAATATGTACTTTAAAACTATATATATTATATATATATATATATATATATATATATATATATATATATATATATATATATATATATATATATATATATATATATATATATATATATATATATATATATATATATATATCCCCTTTTGATCTACGCTCAGGTAATGAGCTGAGACCAAGATTTTCCAGACCTGATTTGTAGTTTATGTTGCACAGTTGCGGAACAAGTTTGATTGCTCTACGTTGAATTGATTCTAGCTTTTTAATGTTCTTTTGCGGGAAAGGGCTCCAAACTGGTGCACAGTGCTCCAATATCGGCCGCATACATGCTGTTTTGCCTTTTTTTTTTATTTATAACTTAGTTATGACCTTTTGAATTTATTATTAATTAGGATACCCAATGTTCTTTTTTCAGAGACAGCTTAAAGAGGAATGCGACTACCATGTTTCCAATATTGTCAAGGGATGTCAAATTCTGAAGAACCACCATAAAACTTTAGAACTCTGCATTTATATATGCTAAATTCCAAGCTCTAAATTCCAAGATTTTAATGTATTTCAGAACGTACGGTAAAACCATAACTGAATTTACCTTGACAACCAACTGGTTATCATCTGCAAAAGGTTTGCAAGCATTTTTAACTAATCCAGGTATATCATTGATGAAGATCAAAAGTAGTAGAGTTTCTATGAGCGATCCTTGAGGAAGACCACTCAAGACATCAATCCATTCAGAGAAGATATTGCAACAAGAACAACAACACGCTCTTTTCTACAGTCAAGAAAGTTTTTGTGCCGATTAAGAATCTTCGTAACCATTAAAAACCATCGCCAACCAACTTAAGATGAAGAAAAACATGCGAAACACGATCAAAAACTTTTGTAAAACCTAGCAAAATCAGCAATACGCCACAATCATCGCTTAAAGCTTTAGAAATAATATCTAGTACCTCAAGAAGATTTGTAAGGCGTGATCTAGATTTACTAAAGGTATCTTGATGCCAAGACAACTTTGTTTTAAAACACACAACTTTGTTTTACAAAGTGTGCTTTACAAAGTGTTTAGTCAAGACAACTTGCATTATTTTTTCCATTATTTTTCTAGCTGCAGAGGTGATGGAAATAGACCTGTAATTTGCAGGATCAGTACCATGACCTTTTTTGAATATGGGCTTTATATTAGTGAGTTTCTACTGAGATGGTACTAGGCCAGAATCAAAAGACTTGATAAATAATAGAGAAAGAGGCATGGTGAACTCTTTAGAACAGGTTTTAAGCACTCGAGGATGATTTCCATCAATATCGGTGGCTTTCAAAAGGCAAGTGTAGATAAATGTTTTTTGATATTACAAAAATTAAGCATAGAGCTTGAAACTGAAAAACAAACAACTTTGGTTTTTCAAAGAAAATTAGGCGATCTAGAGTGAGTTAAAGATGATGAAAAAGCTTCAAATAATTGATTGTTTTGACACACTGCAATAAACTTCTTATCAAATAACTGTGCTCGATCACGCTCACAGAAAGATCTTATATCCCTTAGCCGTGAACTTTGATTTGAGGACCAATTACACTATCATAAATACAATTAGGGTTATTTAATACCAGTAGGTTAAGTGTATTATCGATAAGACTTGGTTTGGTTACAAACTCTGATAGGAAACAATTATTGATATAATCTAAAAAAAGTTGACTAGACTGTTTACCACTTTCACATTGGCTACCCAAATCAGTTCATCTGATACCTCTATGATTAAAATCACTAACAATCAGAACACTTGTAAATTTTTCATCATTAATTAGAGCTTTAGCGCATTTGATTGAATTTATGATTTTTGAATTAAACTCATATTGAGTGAACGGTTGGAGATAAGTACAACCAATTAACAAAATATCATTTGAATAATATTATTAAAAAAATATTGTCCTGTTTTGAAGTTGCACATTGTAATTGTCTAAATTTGTAGATAATAGAGTGAGAGGACTATAAATACTTGGGTTTTGTTATTTTATTCTTTTCGTTCAGTCCATCGAATTGGGCCAGATCGCACTAACCAGAATCCTTTTCTTATTATCTCAAATCGGGAGCTATAAGGTTCGATGAATGCTTGGAAAACTTATTGATTGCTCATTTTTGAAAAAAAAAATTTCTTTAGTTTAAAAAAAAAAACGTTAAAAACATAGGCCAGATAACCGGTAAAAAATTAATTTATCTTGAATCGGTTGAAAACGAAAATTGATAAAAAAAAAAAAAAAGGTCAAAAAATAAATCGATTGGTGACGAAAAAGTCATAAATCGGTTAAAAATAAAAAAGACTATTGGTCGGTTGAAAACAATTTAGGCCTCATTAGGTAAACTGAAAATTAGTTCCACTTTTTAGTAAATGTTCTTTTTGTAAAACAACTTAGTAGGTCGAGATTTTTGTAGGTCTAACTGACTGACACGGTTTTGTGTTTAAATGTTTTTTTGTGTCTAAATGAATTAATTTTATAAAAACAAATTATTCTTCATTAGAATCGGAACAGTCCAAGTCCTAATCCATAAGAAAACTGGATTTAAAACCATTAGTTTGTTAACTTTAATGTTTTTGAATCTTCAACTCAAAAACACTTTCTTTTGACAAACTTTTATGTCTTAAGAATGCTATTGATCGGGACAATAGATTTCTTAAAATAAATTCAGAACATAGATATATACAAAATTTGATGTAGAAAAGTTTTTAAAAATCTAATTAAAAAGCATTTTACGACTCTAAATTTACGGCTTTAAAAATTTCTAGAGTATAAGTTCCGTCGATAGCATTTTACGTTGGTAGAACATTTTTTATCATCGACACCTAGTAATATTTTTAACGCGCATATTTGCTATGAAATTAAAAAAACGTGATATTCAATACGCAGTAATTTAAAATTTGTTAAATACTTTTGATCTCAGACAGTTCAACCACTTCATGCACTGGCTATTTAAAAGTGGTTTGTGCAAGGTTAGCTAGGTTTCATGGCCGAACATTATCGTTTTCAACCTCGTTCCATTATGTCGGAGAGCTTCATATAGCTGTAGCCGTAATAAAAACGTCAAGATGGAAAATAAACTATAAATCTCTGAATTAAAGCTGAAATGGTGTTGATACAAACAATGAGAGTTGCTGTTACAGTTTAATCATCAGAATGTTAAAGGCATTTTGTTTTGAAAAGCAGTCTCTATTGTCGCTCAAAATTTGCAGGAACCCGATAGACCATAAAAGGTTGAGAAATTTTAATGTTAAGATAAAACTAAATCACTTCAAAATATCTTTATGCAAAAAAGAAATATATTGGTTTCTAATAAAACTTTAAAATTATAGACATTTAGGTTCTTAAGCAAAATTTTTATGGCAAAGACATTTTGCTACATAAAATTCAAGTTACACTTCCTCAAAATCAGGCAGGTTCTTATTCTTTTTTTTTATTTTATTTACTATTATTTCGTTAACTATGATGCTGGTGATAGCATCTTTTGACAGAGATTACTACATAGAAATGGTAAAAGTTCTATATTCAATCCGAAGAGAGTTCCAAAAAGATTTAATAGGGTAGAACTAGAGTTGAAATCCTTCTGAGAGCATTTTTTGTTGATAAAGACAAGCCTCTCAGTCTTTGAGTTGCATATTTCACGAGCCTACAGGTTAAAATTTGATATTCTAGGTCATAGTTTTAAAAAATGACTACCGATAAGGCTCCCTCAGACTTTTTTGATACAATATGTCTCAATGCTTTTAAAATATTATAGTTTATTATCATAGTTGCAAACAACTTATCTCACAGCAAAATCGTAAATCTGTTGACCATAGTTTAAGAAATATATTTCTCAAAACAAGTAATTTATTTTTTGTTTTAAAAAATAAATTGTTAGATGGAAATATGTCTGTTAAAATGTGAAATGAACTTGTAGTTTTTAAAAATATATTAAAGGGTGGGATATTTATTTCTTAAAAAAAGAAACGTACTACTTATTTTAAGAAAAATATTTTTTAATAAAAGTTTAAGTTAGCTGAGCTTACAGTAAAATATATCCAAGATAAGGTAGAGCGTGTGATGAGCTCGGAGAAGCTTTAGAAGCTACTTCAAATAAAGATTTCTTGCAAAAAACTATTAAAAAAGAAAAAGAATGGAAACAAGGAGCTATCTACAGCGACTGCTCCCTAATTTTAATATTGACTTATAGCTATAAGCTATAAGTCAATAACTCAAAACAAGTTCAATGATTTTAACAATAAGAAATTTGTAACTAATACCTAACTGCAAACTCTGAACCTTAAAAATACATTAAAAAAATTATTTTTGTATATATTTTCTTGAGATATTTGTCTTAAGCTGAAAATTTATATGTAAATTTATATCATATACATTAACAAACAAATTTTTAGCGTAAGACAAATATCTCAGGAAAATATATACAAAAGTAATTTTTTAATGTATTTTTAAGGTTCAGAGTTTTGATTAGGTATTAATCACACACACACACACACACATGTATATATATATATATATATATATATATATATATATATATATATATATATATATATATATATATATATATATATATATATATATATATATATATATATATATATATATATATATATATATATATATATATATGTATGTATATATATATATATATATATATATATGTATGTATATATATATATATATATATATATATATATATATATATATATATATATATATATATATATATATATATATATATATATATATATATATATATATATATATATATATATATATATATATATATATATATATATATATATATATTAAATTAGGGTAATATGAGCATCTTAAGCGAAAATTGAAATCATTAAAATATCAAACTTTTACCCAAACAATACAACTATATTTTCAACAAAAAAAAAAATTAGTTTGTTATTTTTTCAATTTTACTTACTCAAACCTTTGAACGATAAAAACTCAAATTTTTTGAATTTAATTTACAGAAAATTTTTTTAAATTATTTAATATTAAAATATTAAAATTTTTTACTATGCTTTGCTTTTATTTCAAAAGCAAACTAAAATTAAAGACTTTAAGCTAGATAGTTTCAATGAAAAGCACTGCGTAATTTTAGCATGCTCAAATTACACAAAATGGCATTCTATAAATAAAGCCAAAACTAAATGATTCTATACATTGTAACAAAAATTGATTGATTCTTAGCTGACATACTTTTCTTTATGAAAAAAAATGATTTCATTATTTTAGCGCAAAAAATTCGCGCCACAGACTGACTTATGTGTAATGATATTATTTGAAAGACATAAAAAATTTAACAGCCTTTTAATTAGATGGTAGCCAGTAATTACTGCATATAAATTTACGCTGATTGTTCTGATTCCTGTTATCACCACATAAAGTTGATTCAAAAAATACAAAGCAACTTTAAGGTGGTAGACCACTATTAAAAAATTAAAAATATCATTTTTTCAATTATAATTTTTTAAAATAATAAAGCTACCGTAAATTACAAATTTCAAGTTACTTTTATGAAAAAAAAATAGCTAACACCATTAAAAACTATTTTTTAATAAAGCGGTATAAGTTAACTTTTTCATTTTTCCATAGCAACGCTTTGTTTATTCCGTTGCTATACAACTAAAAAGTAAATTGTATCATAATTATAGTATAAATTTTTAATATAAAATACCAGATGTGGTGATTGCAACTCTAAAACTACTTTTTGTTTATTAACTAATACTTTTGGTGCATTTGGCTACATGAGCTTAATTGAAATTTCCAACTATAGTTGTTGTTTTCTGTTTTTTTTCACTCTTCATTTTCTTATCACTTCGATTAAATAAATATAGTAATGGAAAGTGATGGAAAAAAAAAGAAAAAAGAAATAAAACAAGGCATAGTAAAATACTTGTTTAAACTTTTTAAAGAAAACCAAAATCAATCAACAAACAATGCAGCTGAAGAAATTGTATCTAATTTGCATGAACTAAAATTTGAATGTAGCATAGCAAAAAAAAATTTAAATGGACATGTGTACATGTGTGAAAATTTAAATGGACATGTGTAGAATTTTTTTTCTTTTTTTAAGAATTTTTATTCTTAATATAAGAATTTTTTTTCTTGTTTTAAGAATTTTTATTCTTTAATATAAGAACTTTTTTTTCTTGTTTTAAGAATTTTTATTCTTTAATATGAGAACTTTTTTTCTTGTTTTAAGAATTTTTATTCTTAAAACAAAAACTTTTTTCCTTGTTTCAAGAACTTATATTCTTAAAATTATGTTTTTTTTTCTTTTTTCAAGAACTTATATTCCTTAAAAAAAATCATTTTTTACTTGTTTCAATGTTATTTTTATTTAAAATAAGATTCTATTTTTTATTTCAATAATATTTCCCCTGAACTGTAAAACAATATTACAAAAGTACTTTTTCTATGAAAAAAATGAAACATTATTTTGAAATTAGGATGATATAATAAGAATATTAGGATGATATAATAAGAATATTCAACAAGCATTTATACATTTAAACAACATATCTAATTGTTGAAATAACAAATTATTCTTTGGAATGTTTTATTATTGTTCACGCTTGTAGCGATAATACTCCTCCTATGTCCAAAAAGAGTGTACTTCAATAAGTTTCATCACGAAGTCAGAAAATGAAAAACTTCATTTTAGTTTTACTAATTTTGAGGGTTGTGTATGCATGCATACCTACCTGTATTTGGGTGGCAGTGGACGAGGAACTGCCAACTTGTGTATTCCATAATGCAAAATGGTATCAATGTCTTCATTCATGCTGAGTCAACTGTGACAGAAGACTTTAACACATGTGCCATGTCGCCAACAATCTGAATTAAATAATAATAGAAAAAGCATACAATTTTAAAAAGCAGAGAAAACTTATAGAATAACCCATTACAGGACATAGCAGTTTTGAAAATACCTTCTAATACAAAAAAGGATTTGTGATTTTCAAACACTATTTCATTTTATCCAATAAATATATGAAATCACAAATGAAAAAAAATAATTTTTTACCATTAGCACATTAGGGAAACATTAATATTTCTCTAAAAATGCTGCAACTCTATCAACTCGCTCAATTGGAAATTTATTTACCCAGGTTAATAAATTAAAATTCTATACTTAGTTCAATTAAAATGCACCAGAACAAAGTTCTAATGCATTTTAATTGAACTAAGTATAGAATTTTATAAAAATGTTATAAAAATAAGGATAAAAAATGTAAAAAATTAAAATTAATTAATAATACTAAATTTACTAATTGAAAAGTATTGTTTTCTTTACTTACTTTACTTTATTTGGAAACTTGCAATTGCTTAAAAGAAAACACACACATATATGTCATATATGTGTATGAATGCAACATAAACATGGATATTTAGAAATAGTATTAATACTAATCTTAAGTAAAAACCAACTGTATAATAATATATATGAAATCAATAACAATATTAAAACAATTATAACGAGGTAAGTAATGTTAACAATTATATTTATATTAATATAATAATAACAATAATAATAGTAACAATAATATTGATAAATATTAAATTTAATATTAAACAATAACAATAAGTAACAGTGATATGAATAGAAGTAAAATAACTTTGATATTTATATTACATATAATCATACCAAGAACAATAATAATGACCCACAATAAGTCCAACATTTTACGAACAGTAATTACATTTCTCCAAAATAAAAAGACATAAAGATGAATTTTAGTAGTAAAGTTTAGTGATATAAAGTGAATACAAAAAATAAATTATTCTATGAATAAAAAATGATAAATTATTTCATGATTTTATGCATTGGTTTGTGATGTAATTTGTTATGCTGTACTTAACTGAACAATGATTTAGAATATATAATTTAAGGTTGCTAAAAGAGGAAGATAATTTTAAGAATTTTTTATAGAAGTAAAGAAATTACAGATCGGAAGAGGTAGGGTAACTTGTGTGTGATTTCAGACAAATAGACAATTTAATAGATGAACAAGAGCACACAATTTGATTTTAAATAGAAAGAAAAGAATATTAGAATAAGAGTGATATTCTTGAAAGTAAATTAACTTAAATATCTTGTTTTTAGATTAGATACTCATAAAAAATTATTGGTTCATAAATTATAAGTATATATAATATATCATATTAGAGTGTACTACAAACAATCTGATATGATACAACAAACACTATGTTTGAGAAATAAAATTTATATTAATAGGTACGTGGACTGATTTTTTTAAATTGATCCGATACTAGAATGCTATATATCATTGGAAAGCCCTCAAATACAGTATTTTAAAGGTAAAATTATGAAAATTAGACAATTCTATAAAAAAAATATAACGTTTTTAGTAGCAACTTTTCAACATATGGATTTCTTGATAAAACTGTGGTCAAAAAAAAAAAATTTCTACATAAATTATTATAACTTTGACAATTCTTATTTAAATATCTACAACTTAGTATCAAAAGATAGATGTAAAAATGGGCTATAATTTCAAACGAGTGTCTAGGTAAAGGGCGCATGGAAGGATACAGAGGGGTGCTAATCCGCTACCTACACCTCACAAAAATACAATTTTTTTTTAAAATAGAGTGTTTTCTTTATAAAATTAGTAATATTTAAATACAACAAGTTATTATTTATTCCACATCACTAACAAATATTACAGGTTTATCTTAAAGTTGGGTGTTGGGTTTTGGGGAAGGTTTAACACACCCTATCAAAATTTCATTCTTTTAATTATTACAATCTTTACTAAAATGATTAAATCTATTATAAAAAACAAAAAATTTATTTCAACACTATAACAAAGAGTAACTAGTGGTGTATAGATTGCTTTGATGGAAGAGGGCGTATAATGCCCTTCACCCCCCCCCTCCCTTCCTCTGCCATGAACCTGAAAAATCTTGTGAAAATTTCACAAAAAAATGTTAAAATGTTTTTTTAAAAACCAGAGAGAAATTAGTATAAAAAAACATTTTAACACATTACAAAATGCATCAGAGTAACCATTTTGTCAAAAAAGACGGATTACACACTCCAACCTAAAAAAAAAATACACAAAAACAACAAGCCTTTCGAAATAAAAAAGTGTAGTATAGTATGTATAAATTGCCTTTATGCACCCCCTTTCATAAAGGTAATTTTTACACCTAGAGGTGTATATAATGTCTTGATAAAAAGAGGAGCAAGCCATCCCCCTCCTCTGTCCGAACCAAATAAAAAAATTTTAATTACAATTTAACAAAGAAGTCTTAAAATGTTTTTATAAAGAAAAAGAAATTAGAATAAAAAACTATTTTACCACATTACAAGATGCATCTGAGTATACATTATCATGTAAAGGAACAGATTAACCACTCCAACCTGGGAAAAAAAAACACAAAAAAAACAAGTTTTTTGAAATTAAAAATGTAATTATTTTTTGTCTGGGCTTCTAGTAAATAATTTAATTTTTAAATTACATTAACGAAACAAAATGAATAATTTTTAACAATAGACACCACTAAAGGTAAGCCAGAGCCAACTATCAATTTGCAAGCCACAAAACTTGCGGTACCTACTTGCAAGCCACAAAACTTACTGTACCTTATTTGCAAGCAACAAAACTTGCAATATTTATTTTGCAAGTCATAAAATTTGCAGTACCTATTTGCAAGCCACAAAACTTCCAATACCTATTTGTAAGCTACAAAACTTGCTGTACTATATTTGCAAGCCACAAAACTTCAATATCAGTTCAATATCAGTTCCATCTTGTTTCCAATAAGAAATAGTTCAAATTCTGCCTTGTTATTTCTTGTTTACCTTTTTCAACTCTACCATCATAAATGGCAAAATGAAAACTTAAACAAAAAATTAACAATGAAAATATAAAAAAAGTCTAATTACAAACAACAAATCTAATTACTAACACTTGGAATATTGCTACAAAGTTAAAGTAGTATACAATAAATTAATAATTATTATTAATTTTTTATTAATTTGAAATTTATAATTCAAAATTATTAATATAAAATAATATTGATAGTATAAAAGATAAAATTGTTATTGAATATTATTAGTTAATAACAATTTTATCTTTTATACTATTAATATTGCTTTAACATTATTAAAACACTTTAAAAACATTAACTTAATGATCAAGTTTATGTTTTTAAAGTATTTTAATTAAAAAAGTTATAACTGTTATTGACTATTAACATTAATTTATTGTATACTACTTTATTTTTGTATTTAACAATTAACATGTTTAGATAATGGAATATATAAATTGTATACTACTTTATCTTTTAATTATTGTTTACAATAGCCTATAATAAGAATCTTATTATCCTGTTTAATAGGCTATTGTTTTATTAAGATGATGATAATATATTTTAAAAACACTAACAAGGCTTTTGTTAGTAAAGTAAATAAGTGTAAAGATAAATAAGTGTAACATCACATAAAGTATGTCACATACTGTATGTGATCTTTAACTTTATTTATGCATTTATTCACTTATTTATGCATGGTGTTTTTATAAAGTTGTCCATGATACTTTGATCAAAGTATTCTCAATTGTAACTCAATTGAGTTAACAATTAATTCAAAAGCAACAGTTTTACTGAAGTTTTAGTCTTAAACGTTAAGAATTTAAAAAATATTTTTAAATTTATCAACATAATTTAGTTTTAAAAATAATTAATACTTAAACTTTTATTAAAAAAAATAACTTACTAATTGTTACAGAGTCCAAATAAACATTCTCGCAATAACAATTGTTTTGCGAATGGCCCCCCTAGCTTTCCCCGTAATTTGCTATAACCAAAAAAAAAATCAGAAAAACAGAAATTAGGTACCAAAAGTGTTACACTTAGTAAACTGCCTGCTCCCATTTTTTTTCGTTTAAATTTGGCATTTACATAGAAAATGCATGTAGAAAATTGTTTAAATGATAAATAGATTGGGATCAACATTCCTTCTACTACAAATTCAAGTGAAAACATCGTCTAAATTTTCATGCAAAATTTGAAGCAAAATAACCCATAAAGAAGTTAGTAACCATACATAAAAGTTACATAGAAAATATGCTTAACCTTTCTTCTTTCAAAAACAAACCTTTATTTGCATATTTTTCTAAAAAGAAATACCACAAAAGTACGTTTTACTAAGACTACCGAAAAAATGCAGTATGCGTAGTAGAACTCTTTGAAACCTATCTGCTCCCTTTTTTTTTCGTTGAAATTTGATATGTGCATAGAAATTGCATACAGAAGTTTGTTTAAATAATAAATAGACCAGGTTCAATATTCCTTCGACTACATATTTATGTGAGAATATCAACCTATTTTTCAGAACCAAAATAATCCATAAAAAAATTCAGTAATCATACATTAAAGTTATATAAAAATCAAGATTAATCTTTCTTCTTTCAAAAAAGTATCTATCTGTATATGTATTTCTAAAAAAAAAAACTTAACAAAAATGTCTAATGCTACCTAAAAAAAAGTTAAAAAAACGAGCCACAAAATTTTAGCACAATCGGTTCCGTAAATCGTGATTTCCGCGTACCTAATATTAAAAGAGATTTGCTTTTTACTAATACAATCTATTTGACTTTAGAAAAATATATTGCTGGTTTAATACAGTTTTATTGATGTTATTCCATTTATGAAAAAATTGGGTGCTAGGTTTGAATACAACAAACAACATTTGGTCCAAATACTCCATTCATCACGAGTTTAATAAATAAGATGCAGCATTAATTTTTACAAAACCAAAATTAAAAAAAAGTTGCTATATAAAAAATCTAAGATCCGCAGCCATTTTAAAATCTCTGAAATTTCTTATGAACTTTTTAAACATGTAGCTAAGATCCTTTTGATCTTTTTGAACATGTAGCTAAGATCCGCAGCCATTTTAAAATCTCTAAAATTTCTTATGAACTTTTTGAACATGCGCTCATTAACATAACACTTGTAATTGACACTAGGTTTTTAAGATTTTAGGGCCCTAATGACAGTTTGCGGGGGTAGGCGGAAGGGGCAGAGTCTTTAGCCACACAAAAACTCCTTGATCCGTCGCTCGGCAGTTTATTCATTTTTATTAAATTCATTTATTATAAAGAAGTGCGCAGCTTTGGAGCACTTCAAACCGAATCGCTCTTATGCATGCTTGCACCTTACATTATATTATTCTGCTACTACGTCGCCCATACAAAAGATTCACTTTTATGTTGTTTAGATTTATGCAGAATTGTAGATATGAATATTTCATTTATTAAAGGCAAATTCTATAAAATTCTTGAAGTATGCGAATCTTTCTGGTTTGTATTTTAGTCTTATGAATCAAATGGATTAGACTATTTGATTACATAAAATCATGAACACAAGATCTTTGAGAGGGTGGGGAGGATTTTCAGAAAGAGAAACTCAGTGGCTTTAATTTTTCTGAATTCTTAAATTTTTTTTAGGTATACCTGCGTATATATATAAATATATATACGCAGGTATACGCATCTGAATTCTTTAATTTTTTTTTTAGGTATACATGTGTATACCTAAATCAAGATCTTAAAACAAGAATCAAGTTTTTAAAATAAGAATCACGTTCTTAAAATAAGAACAAAAGTTCTTAACCTAGAATCTTGGATTTTGCTGTGTAAAATATAGTTTGCACATTGAACATAGTTTTCAACATACAAAAAAAAACATAGCACAGTATAATATACTATAAAAATTCCTTGAAAAATATAATTAGTCAAATAATTGATTGAAATAAAACGGTTTAGTAAATAAGTATATAATTTTTTTTAATAAACTATTTGTAAGCATATAAAGAGCAAATAAATATGTTTAAAGAAAATATGATTTAAATCCAGTTTGCAAATCAAACAACTATCTTATACCCATGGCAATATTTGGATCATGGTCAACATAATTCAATCAAATATAACTCTGGTCGAGGTAAAAGGTTTCCTGTAAAGAAATAATATTAAATCATAAATGTAACATTAAATTACAAGCATGTTTGAACGGAATTGTTAAAGTAATCTTTGACTTGTAAAATAATTTAAAATAATGGCTTGTAAAATAAAAATTTTGTTAGATTTTTATTCATCTGCTTCACCGGTTAAGTACCAAGTTAATTTAGCTTTCCATCCATAACTTTATATTTTAAAGTTTATAATTATATTTAAATTTAATATAATCAAATAAATCAAACAGTAGACAGACTCCAGAACTTATATTTTAGATTTTTTTCAAAAATAATATTAAAACAAATAATATCAAAATAATAAAATAAATCTTACTTTATTCTCTGGTAACATTCAATATCACGATTAAAATTCTCATCTACAATCTCATATACAAGAGGTTACTGCAAAAGAGAATGAATATAAAAAACATGGAAACAGTAATACCCATTGCACAAAAACTTTACTCCATTGAGTTTAAAAATTAAAATATTTAAAAATATATTAAATATTGTAAAATAAAGATAACAAATTTGTAAATAAAGATGCTTATTTTATTTACCAATGTTATTCATTTTCTTTTATTTAACTATCCAGCAGGAAAACAAAAAATTTATTTTTTAACGTAATTTCAGAAATATATAATTTTTTTTAAAGCTATTTATTAACAAATTTTATTTATCTATTCATTAACGTTTTATTTATATATAGTTAATAAATAAATTATATTTATCAACTATTTATTAACAAATAGATTAGTAATTGCTAAATTAGACAAAAGTAATTATTAAATTAGAGTAATAAGCCCCTCCAAAAAAAAATTACTTTCAAGCAAGTGTAAGTCTTTTAGATTTTGTTTTACAAAGTTACTTTCATTGTCATTTCTGGTTAAGTTTTCAGCAGAGGTTATTAGTGAATAACGCAAAGGACATTCTCCGGACAGCCTCCTTTAAAGTCTGGCCTCCTTTACTTGCCACAGTTATTATCTACAAAAAATATAGAAAAAGCATCAGTAATATATACACAGCAAAATCCAAAATTCTTGTTTTAAGCAAAAAAAGTCTTAAAACAAAAAAAAAATGACTTGTCCGCCACGTAAGAATATTTTTTCTTGTTTCAAGAATTTTTATTCTTAAAATAAGAATTTTTTTTTCTTGTTTTAAGAACTTTTTTTCTTAAATATTTTTTTTTTCTTGTTTCAAGAATCTTTATTCTTAAAACAAGAATTTTTTTCTTGTTTCAATAATTTTTATTCTTAATATAAGAACTTTTTTTCTTGTTTTAAGAATTTTTATTCTTAAAACAAAAACTTTTTTTCTTGTTTCAAGAGTTTATATTCTTAAATTTAGATTTTTTTTTCTTATTTTAAGAAATTATTCTTAAACTTATGTATTTTTTTTTGTTTCAAGAATTTATATTCCTTAAAAAAAAAATCATTTTTTACTTGTTTCAATGTTATTTTTATTTAAAATAAGATTCTATTTTTTTTTGTTTCAATAATATATCTCCTGAACTATAAAACAATATTACAAAAGTACTTTTTCTATGGAAAAAATGAAACATTATTTTGAAATTAGGATGATATATAATAAGAATATTCAAAAAGCAATTATATATTTAAACAACAAATCTAATAACGTTGAAATAACAAGTTGTTATTTAGAATGTTTTATTATTGTTCATGCTTGTAGCGGCAATACTCCTCCCATG